GGGCGGGGGAAGGATTTCTTTTGCACTTGAAGCTAACAGTCCAGTTATTAGAAGCCCTCTACTTTATTTCCTACTGCCAGATCTTTTGTCCCTTCTTCCTCTGCCCAGCCCAGCTTTGCTTTTCCCGTCTCTCTTGTCTTTCCCTGGTCCCAGTAGTACATGGCTCCTCTTCACTGCTTGTGTATATTTTCACAGCAATGCTTGTGTGCGTCTGTGTCGTTCCATTCCTTTTTCCAATTCTGTTGGTTCTCCCTCTCCTCCTCTTTACCAGATGCCCAATTTTACCCTCTTATTACTCCTTTTCTGCTTTCCTTTTGTCACCATTGCTTTCTTGTCACCTTTGGGTGACAGAGGACACTTGTCTAAAAGGGAAACTTAGGCCAGCGTTCATACCTCATGTTCCTTTTGAATGCGACTAGATACATTCCTGGCCCTTGGCACGCATTTTTGGGGTTGATTCCCACCCCCTCTTCCCCCTGCCCCGAAGCTGCTGTGTTTATTGCAGTGGAAACTTGAAAGCGAACTTTTTGTTTTGCTGGAGCCATCTCTATGTGCTGTTGTGTTCAGTCGGTTGGCTGTGGTTGGCTTTGGGTTTTTGTTTTTTTCCTCATTTCAGTGTAGGTAGTACTGGTGCATGACAGAGAGACAGGCTTGCTTTTTATTCCTCATTGTAAATTATTATATATTGTTGAGATGCATATTAAGTGCTGAAACTTCTGTTATTCTTTTTAAGCCTGTCCGGAAATAAAAAAATCTGTCATGTAGTTACACTTTTGTGGGATTCAATGCAATATGCGTATGGTAGGGATGGTCCTGCAGCTTTTCCAAATATATTAAAGATTGGATTGTAGTTATACAACAAGAGTCTTGTGGCTACAGTCAGATTAATTATGGGGATTCCCGATGAGCAGGCGCTGCGTAGAGCCTGTGGCAGCTGTGCGTGGTTGCGGTCTTTGTAGGGAAGCGCTCTCGTGGAGACCGGGGCAGGACGCAGAGAGGAGCCAGTGACTCTGTCGTAACTGGCGCTTTTTACTTTATATGTGGTAGGATGAACAAACTTTTCATTCTTCGTATATGGGTATGGAGACTTGTGAAGACTCGAGGTGCCATTTTACTCTCTTCTCCGATACCTGTATTAGCAAGTTTTACCGTTGTTGTAGCGGATCTAAAGCAAATGCTGGCTTAGTAGACATTGTGCCCAAGCCTGTAACTGTTTGCCGTGTTGGTAGATCACCACAGCAATTGTGGTTTTGTAAATTCAGTATTGTCTGCGCCACCTCAGGAGCTGAAATTGCTAAACCCTAGATTTCCCTGAGGGGTCCATATAGCTCAGGGGGTGGTAAAGGGGTACAGGCCGTTAGTTCAAATCCTGCTCGGGTTAGTAGTGTTTGAAAGCTGTTAGTGTCTGGTGCCACGAGCGTGTGTGCAGTGCGGTGGTGATCTCTCTGCTGGCTTGTGGGCTGGCGTCCGTCTTTGCCGGACCTCTCATCCACCAGCTGCCTTTTGCAGGCCTGAGAGGGAGTAACTTGCATTTCAGCTCTCTTTCACTGTGGATTCCCTGTCCCTTTCCTTCCTCATCTTACCCCTGCAAAACATTAATTATCATTAAATAAGTAAGAGCAGCTTTTTTTTTTTTTTAAAAATACTTTTCTCCCTGGTGTGGTCTGTGCGTCTCCCTCGCTATTAATAAAGCACCTGGCATGCTGTGACCATCTTAGTAGCAAAGAACAGGAGGAAATACAGTGAAGAGCAATCGCTTTTCCTTCTGCTTAGAGGGCAAGAAGACTAGTCCACTCAAGGCCCGGGCAGCAAATACAAGCTTCTGCCCCACCGATGACTTTAGATGGGAGTAATAAGGGAAGGCAATGTTTATACATTACCTTATCGTCAGCTTCACACTACGTGCTGAGGCAAGAGTGAGGGGAGAGAAAAAAAACAGCTAAAATTCCAGGGTTTATGTCTCAGGACAAGCCGTATTTTTCTGGTGTAAAATAGTGTCTTTAGTACTTTAGATATGTTGCCTTCCTCCAGCACAAACTTTCACGCATATCTAAAATGAATGTTGGTTACAAAGATTTACATGCCACAGCCTGTGTAAAATATTGTTCCTTCCAGAACGGGTGGTGTGCTCAGTGGGGTTCGATCCACCAGCACAAAGCCTGTCTTAGATCACAGCCGAGTGTTCTTTGAGCACCAGACAGGGGCCTCATCCTTTATACAGCCTTTTGCAGAGGTGGCTTTTTCACACATGCCCCTGTTCTGCTGTGACCTTTTAGGCTTTTGAACAACCTGTCCACTTCTTTCCAAGCTGCAGGAGAGAATAGCCTGCCCACGGTCTCCAGGAGAAATAACTGTTTTGTTAGTAACCACAACCACCTTACTCAGCTGCTGCATTTAGCTCATATACTGAAGTGTCAGATTGTTGTCATAGGCTGCTTATCAGAAACGGTTCAGTGGTCTCTTGGGTTCCCTCCAGAAAAAGAGAGAATGGTTGCCAAGAAAACAAAATTGTAAACAAAGTTCCTGAGACCCTAGAGTGACACCACTGTACAATTTTTATTTAGGCTGGGTACCTATAGGGTCCTCTTGTAGAGGACCCATCCATGACTTTCTCACAGGAGGAGATAACGCAAAAGGATTTGGAGTACAGGATATAAGAGCAGACAGCAAAGGTATAATGGGTCTTAACGTAGATAACTCTGGGAAAGAGTTTTTTTTTGAAATTAAAATAAATGGAATACATTTTAAATACAATTGTATTTTATGAATATTTTGAATCCCAGATGTGGAGTTTTCTTTTAACCACTTTATTACCTTTGAGCACAGTTGTGGATATCAGCCCTGTTCTCAAGGCTGTGAATATTTCAAATTCAAAGGAGCTGTGGTGTTCAGGGGTTTTTTTTGGTTTTGTTTTTTTTTTTTTTTTTAATAAAATCTCAGATAGAGGTTATGTGGATCAGAAATGAGATGGCTAAGTAGTTTACTCTTTACTATGCAGAGAAACAATCATTGTGATATCTAGATGCTGAAAGAATGACTTCATGGTGTATGTTAAGTGTGGATGGCAGATGGTCTAAACCCATCTAAATCTTCAGATTGCGTATTTGAATCCTGGAATGCTCAACGCAATTTTTTGTCCTTTCGAGGCAGGTAAAGCAACAGCTGTATAGTTCATTACATGTTCATCTTTCAGCTAAATCTGAAAGCTTGTATGTGCAGGTTCACATTAAGAAGAGCAGGAGAGGGGGATATTTTCTAAAGTCTTGGGGTAAAACATCATTTTCTGGTCTCTCTTTATGTTCTGTTCCTCAGCTCCATGGCTCTGCTGGCCGCTGTGCAAGTACCAGTATTTATTGGTGTTTGAGGCAGTTCTTCAGTTCTGGCTTTAGTTATATTGATAAAAATGAGCATGTTAGATAAGAGTAGCGTGCAGGTGTGGATGAGGGTTGTAGGTAAGCTGCAAGTTTAGGTTTCTTCAAGTCCTACAGAAGTACTCAGTGCCAGTCTTTGAACCAGGCTGGGGAGAATTAACTGGGTTTAGAGTGGCACATTCAAGCCTGGTTTTGGGGCAGTGGTGGGAGAGATTGGCCGTGATCTCTGTCAGACTTGCCCTCTGCTACTTGTTCCAGTCCGCGGGACTGGAGAGAGCCCCACTCGTGCCGTGGCTGGCGCGGCAGGATGGGCAGCCTTGTGCTCGCTCGGAGAGAGGGGCCTGGCTGGGCTCGGCGGTGGAGGTCCTGCGGGCAGAGCCTTGACGAGAGGTAGGCCAGGCGGGAGAGGGCTGCTTGGCTCACGGTAGGTGTGGCACTATCAGCTGGTATCCCCTCAAAGCAGTTGCTGTAGCAATCCTCAACACGTGATTATGCGCACGTATGTGCCTAAATGTGACTTGTTTCTGCAGATATTGATTTTTCTTTTTTTTTTTTTTTTTTTTTTTTTTTTTACATTTCCTTCTAAGGTGCCTATGGACGAGTTTAGTTTGTGGTGTTCTTTGGGGAATTTAGCATGAGATGTTCTGCACTATCCAATAGCACAAACATGGTCACAATAGAAGGAAGGTCACAGTGCTTCTGAAAGGCTCAATCTTTGTTATGCACCACCTATTCAAAACAATACACACTAGAGAGGGCTTAAAAAATGGATCCAACACCAGTGAGCCAGATGACTGAAAGTCCTCCTGGCAGTCTGAATGATGTAGGAGAGATCTGGGAGCAGTGCTAAAATGGAGCAAGGCCCTGATAACAGCATTCAACACCCAGCTTTTGGGAGACCAAGAAGTGACGGGACTCCTGCCAGGTCATGTTACTGAAATGTCAGTACCAGGATCTATATTTTTATGTTTCCTTTGTAGTGCTCTTATCTCCCAGCACTCTAATTGCATGAATAGAGAGAATCCCTGATAGATACCAAAGGATGTTCACAAAACACTTGCCAGTTTTCTTGTTAGCCAGTTCTAAGAGCTGTAAGATCACTTGAGATCTGTTTTTCCTCAGACAAGATTGTGATCAACAGTAGAAGGTGTGGCTGAATCCCTGGACCATCAGCTCTGCCGCGCTTCTGATTTGGAATGTTGTTCTTGCAATCAAATGGCCAAAAAAAAGTTCTACTATTTCAAACAAATGTCTGTGCTTCATTGTTTCTATGCTTTACAAATTTCTGCGCCCACAAATCTTTGTGGATTGGGCACTCAAGCAGAATTTTTCAAGACTAACATCTCGACCTCCAATCCAGACACTGGCTGATCCATAGTTGCAAAGTAACCCATTTCAATGAGTTTCTATAGACTGTGATATGATGTGGAAGTTTCTTAGAGGACTGATAACGTAAACATAACGTGCTATGAGCGCCATGTTTTAAGTGCTTGCTTGATAACAGGACGGGTCTGCCATCCTTTGTTTTTTCTGCTTGCTGAGAGTCCTTTCTGTCCTGTTTGGGTCCTTCTCTGCTGTAACTATTTGTGTTGTTCCTTTTAGGATTCAGAAGGAGGTCTCTATGTGTGCATGAACACGTTTCTGGGATTTGGAAGGGAACACATTGAAAGGCATTACCGGAAAACAGGACAGTGTGTGTATTTGCATCTGAAACGACATGTGATAGAGGTGAGACTTGTGGCTTCCCAACTAACAACCCCGGCAGTTCTTGGGTCTCTTGTGCTCGTTTAGGTAACGCATTTCGGACATAGACCAAATCTTGAATGACAGAACTGAACGTGTTCAGATTTGGGGCTGGATATCAAATCCAGGTGCTTGGATCCCAACCAGTCCTATAGCTTCAGTTCTGAGATGAATCAAAACCCCTAAAGAGTCAGACCTTAAAGGCAGCTTGTTGCCTGACTTCCACTGATCTTTTTCACTCCGTGCTTCTGTGTGTCACATACATATTGTCTGCATATTGTGTGCATACTGTAGGTAACTAAATACTTTTCTGAAACCTGCCTTTGAAGTGTAGAATTACTGGGTTTGGCTCAGATTTGGCTGGAAGCTTCTGAGAGATTTTTTTTTTTTTTTTTAATATGAGGTTTCATCTCAGAGTGACAGGACTTCTTTTCATCATAAGATTTCTGTACAATTAAATCATAAGTCCTAATCCTGACCTGGCCTGGGATCTAAAGCTTAGCTTAAATTAATGGTGGATTCTAGAGCCACAGACTGACCTCATTCAATCTTACAGCCCCCACACATGGATGTGTACATAGAAACTTCATGTTCACTGTTCTTCCATAATATCACTGCATATCAATAGTAATTTATAACCTGTGCTTTTTATAACATCTGTTTGTGTGTGGTTTGTCTGGCATCTTTAAAGGGCTGTTAATGACTGCTGACCTGAGCTGTATGGAAGGCACTGGGTTTGCTTATAGCTCACTCTCCCGTAAGCTCTGTCTCTTTTGGCAAGTTAGAGGGCCTAAAATAGCGGCTTGGAGTGGGGTAGAATACTTCACATTTCTCATTCTACAGCAATGTTTCCCCTGGGTGATGAAGGCCCCGAGTTATGTAAAGTGCCCTGACCACTTATTTTATTTCCAGTAGATGACTATTTATATTTTATCAGAATTATAGCGAGGTGGATTGCATGTCTGCCAGGTTGAGATCGGTAATGAAGTTTGTTGTACTTTAGAATTGTCCTTCCTTGTAAGGGTGATAGCAACATTTTCCGTCACACTGTTAACTGAGTTTTTGGAGAGCCTAGTCTAGTTTTAGCAACAGTTCTTCTGAGTGAATTTAACACTCTTGAAAGATGATATCTAGGACTAGAGACAGGTGGGCAGAAATCCCGTCAGCTTTCCTCGTGTATAACTTTTTTCCAGCATGTGACCTGGGAATTTTCAATATTAAGGTAAACTGGGGTTAAAATGAGGCCTCAAAAATTCCTTTCCTGGATAAAGATTAGGCTGAAGAACTCCAAAAGGGAGAAACAAATATACCGACTGTTGTTTGGAGTTACATACTTCAATTGAACTAGTTCGGTGGTTCCTATTTTTCTCCTTGTGAATCACGATGCAGCAGAGGGGCCTGGCATCTGTGTTTGAAGGTGGTGATGCACTGGTGCACTGGTTCATGTGGTCGGAAACGGTGTTTGACTATCAGTACAGGTGAAGATTGTGTCATCTACCGTGGCTCATAGATAGGATTCCTCATACGTTAGCTGTGGATTTTGTTTACCATGACTGTTTGCTTCTTATGTGCTCTCCGTGTTTTCTTTTGAGCGATGTGAAACATCAGGCCTTAGCTGAAACAGTTTTATGAAGTGTCTGGCACATGCTGCATTGTGGTTTTGTTTTGTTAAGCCAAGCTTTTGATGGTGTGGGATACAGTAAAGCCAAAGGCATTGGATATGCTATCTTAAGATTCTTTTAGAGAGGCTGCTATTCTTGCCTGTGGTTCCCTTGGCATCATCCTTGCAGAATGCACTGCATTGCTGCAGAAATCCCTGTTCTCTTCCAAAGGTGTTCGGATTAAGTACGAGTCGTGTATCTTGTTACAATTCAATTAGAAAATAAGGGTAAGATCTTCAGCCCATTGGCTTAAGTAGAGCTAGAGTATCTGCCAGTGACAGATCAGCACCAGAGGCATCTGCTGAATCATCAGAAATGTGCGCAAGTGCAAGTTCTGGAGCACCCTCTGGTAAAACTCTTAGCTATATCAAGAAAACTGATTTCCCCCCCCCCGAATTACACTATTCAGAATTTTTAAATCAGCCACTTTCCTGTAGTGTATGACTGTTGTGTACAACTGCCTGGGTAATATTCAGCCCCGGGCAGAGCTTTGGCTTGGTGCTACTGTGGTACCTCAGCCCTGTTGTGAAAACACTGGGCAGAGAAGCTTGAAACGTCCTACAGTGATGGGTTCCTGGATATTGTTTGGTGACGGCCCTGGTAGAAAAAATGTGGCAATGGTGCAGTTAAAGGGAACGCAGAGTAGGCTACACTGAGGCCGGGCACAAAAGCATCAGAAACAGAATTTAATGCCACTACTGATGCACTGCGTGGGCTCCTGTTTGCTGGGTGTGTCACGTCTGTTAGAAGCCAAAATTATTTTGTGAATGGGGAACGTTGTCAGTGACTTCTGACAGGTGGAGAAACAAGGTGAAAAACTGTCAGGTTCTGGGTTTTTCTGAAGTATTGAGCATCTGCAATTCCAGTTCCGATATATTCAGCAGTTTGGAAAATCAAGCTGAAATATTTCATGTCAGGCTGGCAGTGATAAACACTCCATGTGAATTCTTTTTCTCTGAAATCTCTAGTCTTAATGACTTTCCCAGCATCCTGCTTGGTGACATCAGAATTCAACTGGAGCTTCCTAGTATTGGAAACAACATTTTTGTTAATTCTGAAGCTATAATCCCGGGAGTATGTGTAACTCATTCATAATATATTTGTAATTGGGCTATGTTGTGTCTTGCTGCTGCTTTTTTAAAATAGATTTGGATTCTTGGTTACTTTGTTTCCATTTTCCAGTAGTTTTAAGGAAAAGAATGTTCTGCTTGTTATTTTCACTTCATTGAGGAATTTTTTTTTTTTTTTTTAAGTGCTAGAGTTGCAACCCCGACTCCCTTTCCCTAGGGCTCATATATATGGATAATAGGTTCTGTTCTTAAGTGCAGCCAAGGAGTGTTAGCTGGCATCTGCTCTTTCGAAGAGTGGAAAACTTGCCTATGATGTATAAGACCTCACTGACGATTCAAGCAGTCTGCTTTGGCCAAAGCTTTATTTACATGGTGAAGGGAACCACCCAAAATATGTGACCCTTTCACCTACCAAGGAGCAGAGGCAAACATGAACTTGCCCTAGGCTGACAGGTTCTTGGCCGGTTTCTTTCCACCTGTTGTATCCCAATATTATTATTAAAAAAAAAAGTCACCTAACAACCTCGCCAGTTACACTAACATTATACGCTACATAATGCATCACATGGGCATTACAGCCACAGAGGCTTATTTGATTTAATCTGATTTGATTTAATGGTGCCTGTTAATAAACAGCTTAAGAAGCAAGTGCATTGACTTTTACATTTCCTCCGCTACTAACATTTTCCCTAGTAGTCTGAGGTATTCTGAATTGGGAAAGTAGTGCTTGAAACTGAATATCACTTGGAAGTCACTATTCTTTGCTGTTTAAATGAAAAAATAATAAAATAAAATCCCCCCCCTAAACAATTGCTTGGGTGCTGTCAGGTTTCTTCCATGCTCTCTGCTGTGGTTTAACCCCAGTCAGCAACTAAGCACCACGCAGCCGCTTCCTCACCCTCCCCTCCGCAGTGCGATGGGGGAGAGAATCAGGGGAAAAAAAAAGTAAAACCTGGGGGTTGAGATAAAGACAGTTTAATAGGACAGCAGAGGAAGAGATGATGATAATGGAAATAGCCAATGCAAAACAAGTGATGCACAATGCAGTTGCTCACCACCCGCTGACCGATGCCCAGCCTGTCCCTCAGCAGCGATCGCTGCCCCCCGGCCAGCTCCCCCCAGTTCCTATACTGGGCACGATGCCATAGGGTATGGAATAGCCCTTGGGCCGGTCTGGGTCAGCCCCCCCGGCTGTGCCCCCTCCCAGCTCCTTGTGCACCGGGCAGGGCATGGGGAGCTGGAAAGCCCTTGACCGGTGTAAGCACTGCTCAGCAACAACTGAAACATCAGGGTGTTATCGACATTATTCTCATCCTAAATCCAAACGACAGCACTGTGCCAGCTACTGGGAAGAAAATTAACTCTATGCCAGCTGAAACCAGGACACTCTTTAATATTAAGAAAACATAGTGGTAACTTGGGTTGATCTTAATGGAAGCAGGCATGGATCCTGATGGAAAGGGCATTTCTTTTCTGGGTAGAAGAAAATTAGCTGAACTAGTAGATCATAGCAAAGTGGTCATACTGAAATTAGTTATGAAGGATTGAATGTTTTATGCAGGTAATAGCTATTTCTTCCCAGCTTTAGTCATTAAGAAATACTGTAGGGTATCTAGTGGTGAGAGGTCTGAGTGATGCTAGATGTTCTAGCTTGTTGATAGAACAGCAGTCACCCATGGTGACCATGAGACATGCTCTGCGTAATTGCTAACAGAACAAAGAAGTATGAAGGATTCAGATGGTGGCTTTCTCACTCCATGAGGGTAGTAAGCAATGATTAGTTGAATCCCATTGTCAGAGGTGAATGAGAGGATTTATAGAATCACAGAATGGTTTAGGTTGGAAAAGCCCTTTAAGATCATAGAGTCCAGCCGTTAACCCAGCGCTGCCAAGGCCACCACTGACCCATGTCCCTAAGCACCACATCCACACGGCTTTTAAATCCCTCCAGGGATGGGGACTCAGCCCCTGCCCCGGGCAGCCTGGGCCAGGGCCTGACAGCCCTTTCCGGGAAGAAGTTTTTCCTAATACCCAACCCAAACCTGCCCTGGCGCAGCTTGAGGCCAGAGCGATGAGGGCTCCCCTCAGCCTCCTCTTCTCCAGGCTGAGCCCCCCCAGCTCCCCCAGCCGCTCCTCCCCAGCCTTGGGCTCCAGCCCCTGCCCCAGCCTCGCTGCCCTGCTCTGGCCACGCTCCAGCCCCTCCATGGCCTTCTTGGGGTGAGGGGCCCAACGCTGAGCACAGCATTCGAGGGGCGGCCTCACCAGTGCCCAGCACAGGGAACGATCCCTTTCTCAGTCCTGCTGGCCACACTGTTGCTGATCCAAGCCAGGATGCCATTGGCCTTCTTGGCCACCTGGGCACACTGCTGGCTCATGTTCAGCTGACTGTTGACCAGCACCCCCAGGTCCTTTCCTGCCGGGCAGCTCCCAGCCGCTCCTCCCCGCGCCTGCAGCGTTGCATGGGGTTGTGCTCCAAGTGCAGGACCCGGCACTGAGCCTTGTGGAACCTCACACAGATGGACGTTCTTGCTTAGCAAAGACTGGGATTTAATCGAAGGACCGTGAACAGATAGATGTGTGTCAGAAATGGTGATGGTATGGGGTTATTGCCGATTTATTGCTGTTTTGCTTGATGGATTTTTAATTGTTTCTGTCTCTCTTTCCAGAAGGTACCAGGGGCATCTGGTGGAGCTTTACCAAAAAGGAGGAACGCGAAGCTATTTTTAGGTATTGTGAACAGCTGCTTTCACACAGTCCTTTTCTGACCCTGTCTGCATGTATACTTGGGTTCTGTCCACCATTGTGTCTGGCTTTGGGGCTCCTTGTGGGTTTTCTTTTTCTGTTGGGTTATTTTTTTAAACTTTTGGTTCTACTTTTTAAAGTTGGTCCAGACAAATAAGTAATTCTGAGCAATATCGGTACACATATATATATATATATATATACGCACACACGCATATGAAACCATTTTAATCTAAAGTAGGCCCTCCACAAAGCACCCTTTTATTAAAATGTTTATCTATACTTAATGTCTAGGTAAGATATATCTTAACCCTGTTAAGATATACCAGGGCCTCAGCGTGGCACTGTTCTGCTCAGCAGCTGGTCATAGGAAGGGTTGCTATCATTTCAAAGTTGTTACACAGGTAAATGTCCTTAGGTGATGTCGTGCTCTCTCCCGTAATGAATGCAGCAGTACATATATCATGAGCATCTCTTACCCATTCTTATTCCGTTATCTCCACAACTATATCCCCCTGCTTCATGGAAAGCAGTTTTCTTACCACGGCCATTTCATCCAATATCCATTGATTCAGATTACCCAGAAAACCTGAGGGCCTCATAAATATGGATGAGGGGAACATGATGCAATGCCTATATTCTCCCTCCTCCAACCACTTGTATTTCTCTTATTCATCTATTATTTATTCTCTCTGTATTAATAGTGAATAGTGATTTTTTTCTTCTGGTAATGAAGAGGTTAAATGTTTTCTTTACAATTGTCAGCTCTTATGGCTAAGGGGAAACAATAGCATGGCCTCCCTTTGGAGTCACTTTGATCCATGGAATGTGTCCCTAAGAGGCTTTTGCAGATTGTGATCGATTAAATTGTTGCTGTTAATGTCTGGAGTAAGTTGTGCAAGGGAAAGTCTTAAGAGGAGTTATAAAGAAATGAAGCTTCTTTCGTAGGAAGAGACTGTTAAGTCGCAGATGCTGGTTCAAATGCCATTTACTGTCAGTTTACATTGAAAATAATGTTTGTCGCTAGATGCTTATAAAATAATTGGTTCAGAAACAAAGCTGGCTGCAATGCAGCAATGGCTGTACACTGTTAGCAGTGTGGGTGTAAACAAGAAGTACAAAAGCACAGTCTTGCTGATTTACTGCATACCTTTTGAGGCTCCTGTCACTGTGGTATGCCAGCACATGGTGTACGTGGCATAGTATCTCTGATGTGCCGTGTTGGAGTCCTCAGATTCCATCCTTGCACGTGAGCATTTTGTTCCCGCTGAGCAGATCTGGTGCACCAGTTCCAAGTGTCCTGGTCCCAGCGAACTTCTGAAGGCGGTGCACTGTCACTGGGGTAGATTTGGCGCACGGAACTATCACCGTTATTCCTGCACTTCTGGAATCTAATGCACTTTTGAAAATGTATCTCATCTGGTCTGTTGTTTTACTGCAGCCCTCTTTGCAGCTCCTGCTGGCTGGGAGTAAAATGGTATCAGTTCTCTGCTCTGGTCCTTGAGATAGTACTTCCATGCATCCAGATGCTTTGTATCTATTTCTTTGGCTCAGCAGATTGTATTATTTTTTTGTCCGTGCTTAAAGAAAAGAACAAAGAACTATTCCTGTCCTTGTTCATAGCCGAGGAAATGAAAGCACAGAGAAGTCAGCTGATTTGATAATTTTGCATGTGACAGCAGCAGAGATGGTTAGCAAACTTTGGCATCCGATCTCTTAATCCAACATCTTCTTTACTGGTTCAGAGCTGCTGGACTTCTCACCTTAGCAGGTCATTTTAGTTCTGTCTTTCTCATTGTGACCTTGGGCACCTGTGGTAGAGCTTTGCACCAAATTGGCCGTTATCAGCCCATATGTGTAACCTGCCATTTAGGGCTTACCCTGCCAGACAAGAGTGGACAGTGATCAATGGGTGACTCTTAACAGCACTGTGTTTCTAGGTGTCTTTGAATAATTCCCTGAAGGCCCAGAGATTTAAGCTTTGTGTACAAAGTCAATCCAGTTTGAGCACTTGTTACATTACTTCTTATAATCCTCTCTAATGTAAAGCTATTAAAGATACTAAACCCTTTTCAATCTCCTTAGTGCTGGGAAAACGTCTTCTGGATGCTCGCTGATCACTTTCTAGTGCTGCTGCTATCCAGCAAATGCAATAGAAACACAGACTGGTTGGGTCAGTCAACTGGAAGCTTTATCCTTCCCTAAACATGAAAAGATCCACAGCTAAGTGTGTGTGCATGTGTGCGTGTGCATTATGTTTTGGGCTCGTTTTGTTTTTCTTTTGGCGAAGGCTGGAGGGTGTTGGCTGTGGGTGTCCTATGTCATCAGGAAGCATAACAACATTGTGCATTGAAATGTATGAACCGCCTTTAATCTAGATTGTTGAGGTGTTGCTAGGCAGTGCAGATATGGGAACGTCAGCTCGGACTGGGCAAGCTTTCAGGGCATTTGGGGTGATATTTAAAGCAGACTGCATTACAAGCATGGAGTAGTATCCTCACTGCATTGTTACCTAGGCTAGCAAGTCTGAAATACTTTGCGGTTGTCAGTGTGTGTGGCTATCGCACAAAGAAGCTTTAGATCCAGTCTGTAAAATGCAAAGAAATTAATTGATGGGACAAGATGATAGTTCCCCATGACTTCACAAGGCTCTTGGATAAGAAACAGCTGCACTGGTGTCTTTGGTATGCAACCTCTTGTTTCAATCAGCAACAGTATGGTAAATGTGATCCCAGTTTTGGGAAAAAAAAAAAAAGAAATGATGGGACCAGTAAAAGTATCATCACTAATTTTCATATTAGCCCATCTGGAAGAAGAAGAGTGGATCAGAATTGATAGAAAGTTGTATAAATATGACAGAACAGGAAGGAACCATTGCGGATTTTCCAAAGTAAAGTAATGGTTCTGGGTCTGCCAGAATAGGCCGGGACTATGTGTAGTGGTGGTCCCGCTGCGTATTCAGTGACTCCGCGGACAAGAGCAATTCCATTGACAGGATGTACCGTGATCGTCCGTACAAGATGCTGGTCAAAAGGGGCGGTAAGATCAGGGGAGGTCCTTGTGTGGAAGGGGTTGGAGGCCCAGTTCTTACAGTAGAAAGTTACCAGCAGAGTCCCCCTGGACCTGTTGCTCCCACGAGCTGCCAGCAGAGTCCTTCATAATGTTCTAATTATGAAGAATTAATGCGATCGTAAATGGTCTGGGAAGGGATTGAAAAATGAGGAAATAGAGTTTGCTGGTTGATTTAACATTATCTAAGAGATGAAATCTACAAGTGATTTTTAATGTGTTACTGAGTAACTAAACAACAGACGAAGTAAATGTTGAAAAATGCAAAGACGACAAGGGAAGTGCTTTAACTGCGTGTGCACAGTGATGTGGTCTGAATTGGCTATTCCTGTTCAGAAAGGTAGTTCTGAGAGAGGTGGTGTGAATGGTTCTCTGATAATGTCAGCCCAGTTGTCAGCAGCAGTGGGAGAATCAAGTGGAACATCAGGAGTAGAGCAACATTTTATATTTTGTTCTCTATTATTTTGGTTTATAAATCAGAAGTGAACGTCTCTCTTGAATAGAGAAACCACAGCTGCGTGCAGTATCTCCCCGTGTGCCGCCTCCTCCCAAACCAGACAGACAAACAGGCACACCCCCATGTCCCCCATACACCCACCCCCCAATAAACAAGAACCCAGGTAGGTATCTGGAAGCTAGGAGGGGTACAGTGAGGGGGGAATCACCGCGGTTTTGCCTTGGTCTGGTACCCTCTTCCTAGGCATCCGTTGGTCCGTGCCAGAGCCTGGACGCCAGGCTCAACAGCGCTGGCAGAGGGGCTGTCATAAAACTTGTCCGTAGACAGATGTCCTCTTCCAGATCAGTTACCATAGCAGTAGCCGCCGGTGCAGCAAGTTGTGTAAGCTCTGCTTTGAGCAAAGTCAGGGCTAACTTAGACCGTCAATTAAAAGCGTTTTGCAGTACTCAAATGAACAGCTCTGTCAGCAGATCGGCGAGGATGGTAATGGCTGGTGAGAGGAGTGTCAGTGAGGAGCAGTATCCATGACACAGCTGGTCCCAGAGGCGGCCTTGGAAAGGAAGAGAAAACTTCCACTCAGAGAGCCTGGGAGAACATGTAAACTTGGTGAGCTTTTCCTGGGTGGCACGTGCCTGCCTACGGCACTGAATGCACTTACGGCTGCCGTTCCCAAGTGTAAAGACCATTTGTAAGAGGGGCCGTACTGGGTTTGACCACGGCTCCCCTCAGCTCTCCCAGATCCCATAGCAGCCAGTAGCAGAACCCTGTTTTCAGTAAGGATGTTTTTGTTTGGTAAGCTTCTGAAGAGGACTTTCACCAGGAGTGGCTTAAGTTTATATTTATGTAAGTAAGCAGAGATAGACTATATATCTATAAATGGAAAAGTTGTGATTTAGGAGGATTTGAGTGTTTCCTGACAATATTTTTAAATTTTAGCCCAGTAAAGTTGTGCGTGGTCCCCAGCAGTAGCAGTGGAAGTGATTAGACCACAAGTGAACCCGTTGCTTTCTGGCTTTGTCATCTAAGCTTGAGCTGAGTATAGAATGATGAGCAGATACCTTACACTAATAGAGTCTTAATAGTTTGCTGGTTTAGGTAGAACTGTGGAAATTAGGCTAGATTAACAAAGGCTAGTGCTGCCAGCAAAATAGTTAAGAATTTGAATTTTGGTGGTTTAGCTTTGTTTGTTTCACACATGACTGTGCCAGAAATCCAAGAAGTGAGGCCTATACCTAGCAATAAGAACAGCATACTAGTGCTTTGGAGATGTAGCAAGCAATTTGAGTGTTATTTTACAAGTAGTGAATGATCCAAATGATCCTAGTAGAAAGTTTTGCTTTTCCTTTTGCCACAAAGGAGGATGTTATGACTGCAAAATGAATTTTTTTTGTAATTCTTTTTTTATAGCTCATCTGATGAGGTCAGTGTTTCAGATGTGCCCAAAGACAAATGAACTCAATAGCTTCTAGTTTGCAAAGTGCTGCTGCTGCAATTCATTATTATTTAGAGGCTTCAGGAAGTGATTTGATTTAAAGACTCAGTCCTCCACTCCCAAGTCAGTACAAATTTGTCCATTGCTTTCAGTGAGAGCAGGATCAAGCCCAGATTCCTAAAATGTCTTTCTAGGGTTTCAAAATCCGTTGTAGGCTCACTAGTCAGCATCCTCATTCAATTTTCATGTTTGCGTTCCCTTTCATACGCGCACAGACACATCCATATGCCCAGGAAATGCTCTTTGAGGGTCCTGCCTGGAGCCTCCTTATGCCACTATTATTAGCGCAGTCAGTTGGTAACTCGTCTAAATCTGATCTGGGCACATCCACTCCTTTTCTTCCCCTCCGGTGGGTTGGTTTGCAGCACTCTGGCTTCCACTTCCAGCTGCCGTTTTCAGTCAGCGCAGCAGCGATGCATTTCTCAGCGTCACTGAAGTGACGCCTGTGAGCTGGAGTAAATTTTCTCTACTGACCGCTTGCCCAAAATAACAACGTCAGTCAAGCCTCTGTTTTAACGTGTCTGTTATTTTGCTTTGCCTGTTGTCCTGGCCTCCCAACACAACACTTAGGACCTACGGACGCTTTGTTTTAGTGACCAGGGTGTTTAACTGGGGCTCTGAGGAGGCACCAGAAAGCTGTTAGTCCGCTAGAAGGGGAACGTTGTCATGTGGACATTCACCAGCAAGCTGTCAGCTCTTTAAAAAGATCACAAACTGGTTGGTTGTCTTGTGGCTCAGTCTTAGAACTGAGTAAGCCCTTTTTTGCCCAGAGATTCTTCTACTCCCAGTGCATCTTGGAAGAACATCCTTGGCCAAGAAACAGCTTTGTATGAAGTATAGTGCTTGAAAGTTCGTGTTTTTCAGTGCCTTTAGTGTTACAGTAATTTCTGATCACATATGCTCCATTTGCAAGTAGATTTCCCCCTGCTCTTCCTTCCTATAGTTACACTTATTCCTCTCTCAAATTCTGCACTAGTTTTAAAATCCAGGTTCGAAACTGCTTGCAGACTGCGCATGATGTCCAGTGGCTACGGGTCAGCCTCTGCCCTCACTTAGCGTGGGCTGCATTGCCTTCTAAAGTAAGAGTTGTCTGTTCTTATTACATCTACGCTCATGCTTTCTTAGCCGTGTTGGCCCCTGCACAAGCACAGAAAATATAACGCAGGTAGAACTTCTTACTGAACTTAGCAACTATGGCTCGCAGCACATACAAGCCAAGATTTAAAACTATGAGTAGTGATGTGGGGGTTTTCAACTGGACATCGTTAAGGGGGCTGTCTGACAGTCGACAAAAGGGATTAGTTTATATGGTCATCTGCTGTATCAAGGGATTTCAGTCAGTGGCCTTAGGAGTCCTTTCCACTCTTATCGACTGGATCTGAACCCCAAGAAACTGTCTTCAGAGTGATGATTGCCAAAAAGCACTGGCGGTCCTTTTCATTCCTGTTCAGAGGGAGTAGGTGTGTGGAGTGGAAGTGTACCAGCTTTACATGGTCACCTTCAAAAGAGGAATTGCCAGTTAAATCCTCATGTTTTTTTCCTGGAACTGCTATGAAGCTGTGTGTATCTTTATTTAAAATAAGAAGTGTGATGCTGCCGTATCGGTGTGTCAGGCATCCAGAACGCCATGCTGACAGGACATCGTTTTCTGCTTTTCTGGTAACGTGAATGGTATGAAGCCTGAGAAGGTAAAAAGGAACTTTCCTTCCTTACCCACTGCACACAAAAGGCTGATGCTCCTAAGTGTGTGAAGGCCTTAGATGGCAGCGGATGATTGCTAATAGGATGCTCAGTCTTTCATCCCTGGGTCACTAGCTCAAATGCAGGTCAGGTCCGTAGCAGTAAAGTTGCTACTATCTGGCTGTTGTCTGGCTTGTGGGATGAGCTGAAGCGTGTGTCTGAATTTTGAGCCCAGGCAACCCTATCATTGCTGTTTCTATATAGCGGATTGTAAATACTACAAACTTAATGTCAGTATCCTAAGGAAACGAAAATACCAGCAGCTCTTACACACGTCTACAGACCGCAGCGGCTGATGTGAGCTGTCCGCAGGTTCCCTCTGGTGGCTGAGCAAAGCCCTGGAAGAGGTTTGCTGCCTTTAAACCTGTCTGAACGCACACAGCTTTTATCCTCTGTGAGGAACCTTTGTCATGTGTAGGAGATGGTCAGTACGGTTGGTTTTGCTCTGCTGGCCACCGTCAAATTTCTGGGCATTATGTGAAAATTCTCTGTGATGTGTTGCCCTGTGTATCAGCAGCTCGGAGATAACTCCGTTTCTTTGCTTCACAGAGCAAAAGAGCTTACTGTTGCAGACTGCATCTGTGGAGACTCACTCCTCTATGAAAACGCAGGATTGCAATACAAGCTGGGAAAGAAGCCCGGAGTAAAGTGAGGTCGCTGGTTATCCCTGCAGTAAGGGAAGGGGTAGTTACGAAAATAGTGTGAGTGGGGGAACTAGTAAAGAATTAACATTTTCTTTATAAATGTCGTGCTTTCAGTATAAGAAAAAGTTTTTTCTTTTGTGTCTATATTCAGCTGATAAGAAAGGGGCTTTTGTTGGTTGCTGCTGAGAAAGAGGTCATGCTGCTGGAAGTCACTGACAGTGGGTGTTGTCACCCCTCAGGACTGGCTGGTGCAGCAGGTGAGCCAAGAATTGAATGGAAGCTGGCTTATGTTCTTCTCAAGAGGTGATCTTTCCAGGTCGAGTTAAAATATCTTTTGAGACTTGTTTTATCACTTAGGGTATTCAGACTGTTACTGCCCACGGGGCACATGGAGAGCTTAGTTTTCTGAATCTGGCCTCTGTCATCCTCACCTCTCTCCCAAATATACATTTGAGATTCCAGGCATTCCCAGAGTGCAGTGGTTGCTGCCAATGCTCGTTTAGTATGGAGTGACTCGTTAAGCATATGTATGTACTTGGAGTGAAAATAAGCACCACCTTTAGCTACTGCTACTGCATCTTCTTTCTTGGTTGAACCCTATTCTCTCAGTGACTGGCTGGTACATCGCAATACAGTAGATCCAGCATCTCCAGATGGGAGAAGGATCCAGAAGATCCCATCCTTGCCCGGGCTATTCTTGCAATTGAATCTTGTGAAATGTCTCACACAACATGCACGTGTTTGGCCTTAACTTTCTCAGTTGTCCTGGAAAGAACCGAGCAAGATTTTAACGCAGTCTTGTCAGTATGGGATAATTATGGTTTTGATGAAGCTAGAGATACAAACACTAGCTGTTTAGTTATTTATATACCCTCCTGGCTTCTCTCTGGGTCCACTTATTTCTGGACAAGCATTTGAGCTGATCTTGCCTGACCAAGGATCATATTTAAGCAAAAAGTAATCCTTACAGTAAGAGTGTACACAAACACTATGGAAGGCTTGCTCTTCAACGGAAAGCTTTATTAGTTAATAAGTGATTTTTAAACAGATAGTTACACTGGTTACAGAGTGGCGTTAGCAAGAGAGGGTTAATGCTGGTGTAACCATATTTGCTGTAGCTATTTGAGACTATGGATGAGATGCAGGAATACTTCCAGCCATGGACATCTTTGTGGGAGGAAAGGCCACGGGTTCAAGATGGATGGGAGCCATAGCATGTTTCAGCCAGGTCGGCGATCTGGAAAATATGGGGGGCTGAAACAGAGGTGCATTGTTCTTGCTCTGCGATTTGGGCATGGGTAGTGTGACCTGGTCTCCACATTGTTTCAAGATCCTGGGTAAAAGGCACAGCAGTATTACATCCTGATTTTTTCCAAAATGAGCAGAGTTTTGTTAGCTGCTTCCTAGAATGTGATGTCTGCAACAGTGCACTGCTTGGAGAGGGGCCAAATCAACGGTGACTGGGGATCAGATTAAGATGGAAATTGTGGTCTCAGAACATCCTCTTACAGGATGGTCAGATTTCAGTTTAGATCAGGATTTCACAAACATTTCTATCCAGAAGAAACTACTGACAGTATCAGCTTGCAGGCTGATGCCAGGCAAGCAATGCTTCATAGTGGTACCTCTGCCACGACTTAGGAACCTGGATCTTGGGACAATCTCCTAACATTACCCATCTTGTTTTCCAGATCTAGAGACAAACGGTGATCTCAACAGTGATGACTTTGAATATGAAGATGAAGCAAAACTCGTTATTTTTCCTGATCACTATGAAATCTCATTACCCAATATAGAAGAGTTACCAGCACTGGTCAGTGAGTGTGTGCAGGTGGTGATAGGAATTGTCTCCTGCTTCAGTTTTTATCGAGATGGTGCTTCATGTTCTTACGTGTGGTGCTCGCTTTTACATAAAGATCTTTGTTAGCTAGCTATAACAGAGAGTTGGTCATTCTTAAAAGTCTGCTTTGTCTTTGTTTCTTGGATTTCCTTTTACCTCCTGTATTCCTTCCCTTACTGTGATGCCGGCTTGTCCCAGGGACGCTCACATAGTACATCTTGTGCTTGCTCTCCTGCTAAAATAATAACAACTGCAATCTAGAAGAATACGTGCATATTTAAGTATATAAATAGTCTTACTGATACCCAGTTCTGTATGTGGTTAGCAATGGGCTGAATGCCAAGTTCTGTCTAGTCCCTGAATCGTATTGGGTTTTGATTGACATACCTTTGTCTTCCAGGTGACGATAGCTTGTGATGCACTCCTCAGCGCAAAATCACCCTACAGGAAGCAGGACCCTGACTCCTGGGAAGAAGAGCTACAGGCATCTAAACATGCCAAAACACTCGTACAGTTAGACAATGGTGTTAGAATTCCCCCCAGGTGAGGGTAATAAGGTTTATTCGTTGTAGGCTCTCTAATACAGTCCAGAGTAACAGAACTAAAGCCAGCATCTCAGCCAGCAGGTCTCTTGGGTGACTCCGGGCTGAGCGTGTAGGTTTGGTTTGACCTACCGTACCTGGAAATACAGGACTGGTTCCAGCCTGACTTTTTTCTGTCATTTCTTCCTGTTTTTGCTTGCAGTGGTTGGAAATGCTCAAAATGTGACCTGCGGGAGAATCTGTGGCTAAACCTGACAGATGGTTCTGTGCTGTGCGGAAAGTGGTTCTTTGATGGCAGCGGGGGGAACGGGCATGCAGTGGAGCACTACAAGGAGACGGGTTATCCCCTGGCAGTGAAGCTGGGAACCATCACTCCTGACGGAGCAGGTCAGCCACCCGGCAGGTTCTGAGATGGGGTATCTCGTGCATGAGACTAACAGTGTGTATCTGTTGCCAAGTGGGTTTGTGCTTCTAGTGCAAATGTTTGAGAGTGTGATATGGAAAGAAAACCCTGTGAGCCTGTGAATCTTGATGGGCTTGGGGGGAATGACACACACTCCATTTGGAGGCATGGACGCACACTCTTCTCTTCCTGTTTTATAGTTGGTGTAAATAGTTTTTTGGGTTTGTATAACAGTAGATTTAATAATAGAAGAATGGTATTATTTTGAAACAGCAGAATCTGGAGAAACAGAATTTTTCAGTTCTGTTACATTTGCTAGGGCAAATGATTCAATCTTACGTAGCATAGAAACAAGAACACAGTAATGATTTTTAAAGTCAGAAAAGTCCATTCTTAACATCGTGTATGGATTTTTTTTATCGTACTGGAAACTGTTATTTTTTTCTTACTGTTTCGGTAGCATTTTGTTCAGTCTAATGAATGCTCATCTTCATGGGGCTGCTGTGATGCTCATTTGTAAAACGCCTGATGATCTTGAGAGGGGAAAAAAGCTATAGATGTATCCTTGTTTGCATGTTCTCCGAGTGTGACGTACTGCAGTGTTGCGGTGGAGAGGATTATGGTGTGTGAGTATTAGATGGAGTAAAAACATGAGAAGCTGAAAAAGTCACAAGCAAGGAGATCCTTTCTGCAGCTGTGTGGAGAAATAAAAAACAGAGTAACACATAGCATGATTATATTTTGGTTTTAGTGCTTATGGCCATATGGATGAAAAATAGCTGTTTAGAGCAGCTCCTTTTCTAACATACATCAGTTGAGAGTTTTTCATCTTTAAGTCCTATTCAGTGCCAGGGAAGGGAGACTGTAGTCAGATCCCACCAGCTGTGCCACAGAAGCACTGCACCAAATTCATTCTTTTCTCTCCCAGATGGAACGTTGTTTCCTTGCGTGAGCCTGGTCTTGGATGATTTCTGTCTGAATCTCTCAATTATTGAAGGTGTTTAGGATATGCCCAGCTGTAGGTTGCAACTGCATCTACAAAATAAACAGAATATTCTTTAGTGGTTTTTAATTTTTTTTTTTCTTTTCTTTCTCATCTTTAACAGCAGTACTTGTTTCCTTACAGCTGCTGTCCTTCTGCCTCCCACTGATCAGCTGCTTCCTCCCTTAGGTGGCCTTTGGGATAACAAAGGACAGGCTGTCACCCTTCCCTCTGACTGAGGGGCACCAGCTGTTCTCCACAGACCTTTGTTCTTCTGGATGTCGTTTACTTGGTTTCCCTATAGAAAAGACTTTCCTCCCCCAGCCCTCCCTATTTCCTTTTCAGTACTTATTTTCTCTCTGATCTATATTGCAACAGTAATCATAACCTCTCGATAGGGCTGGATGACAGATGAGCTTCAGGAAAGAGGCTCCGTGGCTGATTGCGACACAAAGTCTGTCTGGTTTCTGATTCCCTGCACTGGAGGTGAAGAGGTGATGGTAGAGGAGTAATAAGCGTTAGTCCCTCTGCTGACATAACTTATTCTTTTTTCACACTAGTAAGGAAGAGAAAGAGGTGGTGCCAGTATTCCACTTATACTTACACAGAGGGAGCAGAGGAGAGCTCCTCGTCTTCCCTTGAGGAATCTGTGTTGTATACATTATGAAAGACTTCTGGGGCATTAGCCCCATTTTGTAGCGTTCTGTCAACAAACAGTTCTGGGATCAAGGCAGAAATTGAACCAAACTTCTGTCTTCCACTCTTGGACCTTGGACAGGATGCACGAGAGAGTCAGAGAAGTCGCTTGCTTCAACAGGTTGAGTAGTGCTTGTCAGACTGTGCTACCTGCTGCCTCGCTCGACAGTGGCATTTGGTTTCATTTCAAGTCATTGTGAGGCTGCGTGTTTGAAACTGGTTTGAGGAGTGGAATGGGGGTTTGGCAGTGGGAAGCCCTGTCTGACAGGTACTTGAAGGAGTTGCTCTGAGGATGTCAGTCTCTGCAATTGTCAGATACTTCTTTGCGGGATCCTGTGCAACTTGTTTCTTCAGCGACAGTGTTGCCATTGCCTGTTATCCTCTAAGTAGGAAGAAGTGACGTCTACACAGCCAGAACAGGTGTAAATCTTGAGCTGTGGAAGGAAAGGAAGTACAGGTAGTATTGTCTTTTTCCTTTTCTTACCATAACATGAATAATAATGATTATTCTCTGTTTAATAATATTCTGTGTTGTGTGTGTCACATTGCTGACTTGTCTACATTCCTTATCTACCAGAGTCTGTATGACAGCACTACAGACCTGTGTTTGGGGGCTCTCATCTTCTTTCTTTGATTTGCTGCTCTTTTTTCTTTTTTTTTTTTTTTTTAAATAAGTGAATTCTGTGTCTCTCCCATGAATTTAAGTTGGCTACACAGGAGAAAGTACTAAAGTATATGACACAAGAGCTGGGCTTGAGCAAGGATTCATGTGTCGTGTTCTATTTCTGCTGCTCTGGGTCAGTAGTCCCAGATGGCTGCTCTCTCTTCTGTTGCCAGAGCTGAGGAAAAACAAAATCAAAGCTTCCACATTGAAAGTAGTCCCTCAAGATCAGTTGATGTGTAATCTCACTCCATGAAGTGTTTGAACTTTCCAGAATCTTTTGGCTGCGCTGTGACCTCACCAGAAGACTATGGGAATGTTGTGATCTCGTGTGTGTGGATGAACAGTCGTGCCTCCTGGGCACGCTTGCTACCACACAGTGGAATTCCAGCAGATGGGCAGCTCCAGCCACACGAATGCCAGAGAGGTCATCAGGACCAATGTCAATAGAGGGTCTGACGCCTAATCAGCAGCTGGCAGCACGAGTCAAAAGCACAATTCCCTGGTTTGAGAGAGTTAATGTTTTTCATAGGGCTGGTAAATCTTAAAAGTTATGTCTTTGAGGTCTTGGCTAACCTTCAACCTATCATTTCAGCATGGGTTTGATACTAGCAGACTTGAAGGAGACTGCCTTTCTGTTAAAGTCTTGCAGAGGTGATGGGCTGAGTCAGAGCCCGGGTCTGTGGTTGCCAGGAGAGGGCAGGGTAAGAACCCTCCCGAAGTGGTATTTGTGCTGTGAACAGCCTTTGTCTGCGTTCCTGCTCTCTTCTCCTGAGTTTGTTCAGTCTTTCTCCTGGCTAAGATTTCTCTGTCAGGCTAGATCTGGTCATGGGGGGCAAGGTCACTGTGAGAAACTCTGCTGAGCGTGAAGGAAACTTGGCTGAGAGAAGTGCAGGCAGACTGGCAGAGGGATTCTGGATTTTGGTATGGCTGGAGACCAAAGCAGGGAAGTAGTTGTTCACTACAGAGGAACAGGCCAGAGAAGAGAAAAGATGGAAGGCCTGTTCAAGTCTTACTAGCACATGTCTTGTCACTCGTATCCTTTTATGATGCCTGCACCTTTATTTTTATTTGCTCAAGTAGGCGAAACCTGCTGCTTGCTCAGCTTTGTTACAGGACTTGCTTAGTAAACACTAAACATGAGTGTTTCCTCTCTCAACCATTTTTCCTTCTGTTGGATTTATTAAACTTGATTTCATAATGAAAATATCATCGCTAGACATATTGCTTCCCTCCACAGTTTGAACTTTGCCCTGCCAAAATGTTTGTGGGCTTTTACTTAAGGCCGTAAGGCCCTATCATAGAGCTAGAACTGAAATCTAGATCTCCCGTACGATAAAGCAAGACACCTTCGTCACGACAGCGGCCTTTCTCCCTAACCACAAGATTAATCTTCCAAGCCCAGTCCAATGATGTCCAATCCACCTCTTTATTTCTGATAAAGAATTTCTCAGCTCTCCCTGCATTTCTGTGGGAAAAGGGCATAAGTGAATTCCTTAAACTGTATTTTTTGCATGCCCTGGTCCTTGTTGGAGGAAAATACTATGATCGCTGTAAATATTCTTAAGTTTTAATACTGTGAGGGCATGTAATTTCTTTTGAGGCGAGTAGTTGAGGTGATTGTGTTGGGAACATGTAAGATATTTACTGAGCTATATGAATGTCTATGCATTTTCCTGCTGGTCGAAACTAAACTTAGAGAATATGAATAAGGCATCTTGTATAGGCAGTCCTGTACTGAGAATGCAATGTTGGTAAACAACGAGAAGCGATAATATTTGATACTACAGCTCATCTGTTTCTCTCTGCTTTTGTAGATGTCTATTCCTTTGACGAAGAGGAGCCGGTTTTAGATCCGCATATAGCAAAACATTTGGCACACTTTGGAATTGATATGCTGCAGATGCAAGTGGTAGGAAATCCATCTTTTATTTAGTTTGTTGTTTACTCGTTTGTTTAGTTGGGGGTGGGAGAGAAACAGGAGAAGACTGATACTTGTAGCTTACATTTGTGTGATTCCTTCAGACTGTTATGATGATATTTCGTTTTGTAAAGTTCAGCCAGCCAGTTCGTGGTTTATTTTCTGAGGTCTGAAATGAGGGAATCATTACTGTCAAATCTAAAAATTGCCTTCCAAAAGAGTTCCTTTGTAGTCTTTAGTTTACATGTTTCACTTCTCGTGTGTTATGTACCGTTTTCCTTCAAGATGAAAAACCTCATTCAATTGGAGAAGAACATCTATAATATTTAATTACAGTGAGTGAAAGAAAGCCTACAGCATGTGTAAGCAGATACAAATCTTAAACAAAAATAAGCTAAGGAGTGGATAAGTAAAAAAGTGGTTGAAAGGTTCTTTATGCAAAGTTAAAAATTTCAGTTTAGGTCTTATTAATAAATACGTTACAAAATGTAAAAATACATTCAAGTCTAGAAAACAGCGTGGTCTATAGTGTGGTACACTGGAAAGGGACTGGGGCAAAAAGAGTCCTGTTCCTGAACTTGTTGCTGTGGTCTGTATTAGTAGAGAAGTCCTTTTACTAATTTGTATTTTAGTGGATGTTGATTCCGGTTCTGTTTAAATGATCCAAGAAGTCTGAATGGAATATGGTTACAAAGGCAGGGGGTTTTATTTTTATTTTTTCACTGAAACACATAGCCTAGTATCACTACCTGATAACCTGAACAAGAAAACTGTTAAAAATGAACAAACCTGATACTGGTTTAGTGTATTTCATTGTCCAAGTGGAGAGAAAACTAATAATAACTCTAAAATGATAGAGAAGAGTTTAACTGCAGTTTCAAAAGCCTTCATGGTACTAATATTATTTTTGCTATACTAATTTCCTTGCCAATATCGTAAATAAAAAGCCCCTTTTATCCAGCGGTCTTTCTGGAAAACCTGTTTTACTCAGCAGCCTTGAAAACTTAGTCTCAGCTGTTGCAAAGGTTTCACCTCTGGTCTTCAGACCAGTCTGAAAAATTCTTGGTGAAGTGGTGGCGTAGTGCTAACAGTAAATGACGCAGTAGTGACCTGGACCTCCAAGCTGTGAACAAGCTATGTACCTACAAGCTGAAGGCTGAGCTGTAAAGGGGAGAAACTTCAGCATCACAGGTTTCGGCTTTTCCCGTTTGAAAGAAGGGAAGAGTTCTTGGATCTGCAGCTTTTCATCTGGTTTGTTTGCTAGGACCAGCTTCTACAGCAGCAGCTATTCCTGGCCATTACAAATGGAATATGAAACCTGAAAAAATGCAGTGTTTTGATGCTGAGGCTTGAGATCACAGCCCTGCGAGAAGTGAAGCTCTGGGACTGAGCTCACAGCTAGGACCACTCAAAGAGCCAGTGGCCTGTGGTAAAGAGCTAAGAGGTATATCGGAAGAACAAGCTGCTAGCCTTTTGACCCTGATCTTCTCCCCTACGTGCAGGATTTACCTCCCTTTGCCCATTGGTTTGGCTCTTCTTTTCTAGAGTATAGATCCCAAAGTTGGTGGTGATGATAGCAGCAGCATAATTGTTGCAGAAGTTAAACAGATTAAAAAAAAAAAAAATCTTGTTGCTTTCAGACAGAGAATGGGCTAAGAGATAATGATATAAAACCAAGAGTCTCTGAATGGGAAGTGATTCAGGAAGCTGGCGTGAAACTCAAGCCCATGTATGGCCCAGGATACACTGGCATGAAGAACCTGGGAAATAGCTGCTACCTCAATGCTGTCATGCAAGCCATTTTCAGCATCCCAGAGTTCCAGCGAGCGTAAGTAGCTTCAAACTAGTTCTTGTCACTAGCTGCTGTATTCCTCAATCTCTTGTTCTTCTAAGCAAAATGGTATTTTAATTTTCGTCTCACCTGCAAACAAGTCTGTCTCAGTCAGCTCAGTGGTCACTTAGAGGATTTAGTGATTGTATTGTTCTGTTCTGGACAAGGTTGGAACACAAAACCCAATTTGCCTTTGAAAACAGAATTTACTTGCCTAGCTTCAGTGGTGGGAAATCATATGCCACCTCATAAATTTGATTGCTCTGTCTCTGCTTTTTATATATGTACGTACGTGTGTCTCTTTATCTCGGTATCATCAGTATCACGTTACCGTTTTTTGTACTGCCCCATGCCTTCGTGTAGCTGCAGGAATCGTGTTATTGCTCAAGTGTCACTTGTGCGAAAAGCTGTAGTGGCACGAACATGTTAATATTGATCCAAGCAGTGCACCTTTTGCATGCAGGTCTGGCTAAGAAGAGGGAAACTATCAGAGGCATTTTTTTAATTAAAATTCTAATAAAAACAAAATCTCATTTCATGAAAAGGGTAGTGTGAGCATATTCTTCCACTGAGTAATTAAGAGAGTAAAAGGACAAAAGCATTTTTGTTTGAGTCTGCCTGTCATCCACCATAAGCACAACAGAGGAATATGAAATATTCCTGACTGATCAAAACTGAACACATCACTCCAAGGAGAGAAGCCTTTTTATAAAGGACAGTCTGTGGTTTGCAATAAAATTCAGAGTGCTCTTTCATTCGACAGCAGTAGTAGTGTGTGTGCTGGAAGTTAGGCTTTTAGATTTTGGAAAGCCTCCCAGGTTTTCATGTAGCAATTGCCTTCTGGAGAAGAAGAGGGAGAAAGCCTGTGTTTGTTTACTTTGTTAGCCATATGGAGTACAGTCTGTAGATTCATTAAGTGCCAGCTTTTCTACCTGCGTTTTTGAAAAATATCAAAATGGGCTTTATGAAGGGAGGTTGATTTCCACAGCATGGTCCTTGGTGTTACCTGGAGCACTTAGTAACAACAAAGTAGTGGAGATCTTTGATGAAAGAGGGACTAGGCATAAATTAGATGTGTTCTTTCAACATGGCCATACCTACCTAGCCTGTTTCTCTTGTGCTCGAGGGAAGCAGTTCTCGGATAGTGTGCGGTAGCACACATGCTTCACTTTCCAACAAGCTGGCTAGAACAATATATACCTCGGTGTTTGCTGTCAGGAGTTAGCCTTTGTTTCTCTGAAGAAACTCAATCGAAACATTCTTTTTACATGTTCTGGTCCTGATACAAATTTGGAATTTATTTGGCAGTGTTGGTTAGGAGTAGAAAGTACATTGGTTCTCAAGCCATCTCTATGGTTTTGAGCAACACTATCCTGCAGCTATTTCAAAATCAAGGAATAGAATTTAAATTCCAGATGAACAGCAGCATCATATCCTTTATAGCTAGAAGCTCCTAAGCAAAACTTAAGTTTCCATTTCCTAATTTCTTTACTATTATTTTTCCATGATAGAAGCACTCACCAGAGATAGATTAAGTCATTGCTATGATGCAAAATTTGACTTGTTAGCACAGAGGAAGCCTGCTGATGTATCACTGCTGAGGATCTGTTAGGATATCCTTGAGGAAATCTAGCTGCAATATTTGAATGTTTCTGCTTTGTTCTTGCTGCCCAGGTATGTGGGGAACCTTCCACGAATATTTGACTACTCTCCTCTTGATCCAACGCAAGATTTCAACACTCAGATGTAAGTGACACTTCTCAGTGGTTTACTTGGTCAAGTTAAATAGAAGCTAAATAACTTAATGGCAGGGCAGAACATCATCTCTGCATGGGCTTGAAAGGGAAATATGGCACAAGGTAGAATGGGAAGATTTGCCCACTTAGTTGCAGGTAATGATGTTTCATCAGCGAGTCAAAGACCATAAACTTCTTTTTTTGCTTGGAATAAGAATCTTCTCTTTTTTCCTGTTTTTCTCACACGTTTCCACCCTGCCACTTTCTTCCCTACAGGGCTAAACTGGGACACGGCCTTCTTTCAGGCCAGTACTCTAAGCCACCCATGAAATCTGAGCTTATTGAGCAGGTGATGAAAGAAGAACACAAGGTATTTGACTAAGTTTGTGCAGCCTGGTAACTAGGTAAAAGTGATATCCTGAGAAAAGGGAACAGGTGCCGGGCATTGAAGAACACGTGTGGATCCAGCATGGGATGCTTAGCAAGGTGGAATGTGCAGGATTCTAGTCAGGAATATATTAGTCAGGGGCTATTTGTGCAAAGCATTAAAGCAACCATTGGTTCTGCTTATAAAGTATCCTGCTGCTCCAGTGATGAGTGCAAAAGTTCGTAGAACTTGCCACTTAACGGTTATCTTCTTTGAGGAACAAAAAAAAAAAAAAAAGTCATCTAGAGAGTGCTGAGTATTTGGAAGCAAACTTCTAAACCCTCTTTAAATTTCAGAAAGAAGTATAAAGAGCTAAAGAGTTGTTTCCAGGAAGTGTCTGACAATATTCCACCTGATTTCAGGAGAAGCTGTCTACGTAACGCAAGATTAAGTGGTGCTGGAGGCTTTCATGTAGATGAAGGAGGGGCCATGCAAAGCCATGTCCACTGGGGCTTTATTCAAGTATTTCGTGGTACAGAAATCATGTACAAGCCTGTCTGTGCCAGTGGGATCTATCCTGGAAACACAGTAGTATGTGTGGGTTTGGATATAGATTGAAACTCTAATTCCTGGAGAGCCTGGGGAGACCAATGTATATATCCTGATTTATAATAATTCACAATAGAAAAAACCTTGGAATCAGCTTCCTCAGAATAGGCAATTTGAGGACAAAGGTATACTGAGGGGCGAGTGCTGTATAGCTAACATGCTAGACACAAAGGAGAGAGGAACTGGAGAATGAAATAACCTTTTTTCCTATGTAATATAGAATTTTATTTCTCTGTCATAGTGAGTGTAACCAGTGGGAGACTTCTGTTTTTTCTGTAATTTGCAGTAATTTTGCAGCAAAACATATACTTAGCTCACCATATCTAGCTAGTATCTAGCTTCGAGAACTCCAGTATTGTTGGTTCTGTAATCTTCGTACTGCCTTTGTGTTATTCTTCTGCAACATGAAAGTTGCTTGTTTGTCTTGTGCTGCAAAAGTCATTAAGGCCTGTGTTGGCGTTGTACCATCCATAGACCTGTGTCTTCATCCGTCTGTGCTTTTTCCGCATCCAGCAGTGAATGCCTTCGCCCTCACAGTCATCAGAAAGCCTCTTCATATTCTTTGTCCAACAGTCTTTTGGTTTTAGCAGTAAGGATAATTTTTGACGAAGGCCTGACTGATCTATTCGTATTAACAAGGTTCATGGGGGCTGCTTGATTCACTGGTTTGTCCTTTTACCTGTTCTTGCTTGCTTTTGTGAAGAAGAAAAGCTGTCAGTAGCTTAGTGGTAAGATGGAAAAGTGTCTTTTCTTTTTGTAAGTTGGTTTAGTCTCCCTCAGCCTTTGGAGAGTGAGATCAGCTCAGATTTTGCCTCTCTGCTCAAATTCTGCTGCTTTTGGAATTGCATTTGTTTTCCCTAGAGTCATCCAATTAATAGTTATCTTAAGCAAAATGTTAGTTATTGGGACAGTGTTATCTACCCCAGCAAATCTATTACTTTAGATCTGTTTTACTATTCAAACTATCTACCTTGAAGCATCTTGTTTAGAGTGATGCTGGGAAAACTGGACCTAGAACAGATTTGTGTCCCTGCCAGCCTCTGTTACGGTGACCCCAAACAGCTTGTGGAGTCAAACCACAGACTCCATGGATGGGATATTTAGAAATGAAAGGTCAACTAATAACCAATACTGAAATAATACCTGTAGGAAAGAGCTGTCTTTGTGGAGAAAGAATCTCTGATACCAGGTTGTAGTTTTATACACAGTAGACGTCATGCATGTTTCTGTCACTGTCACAGAATCATGGTGATGGTTTCCATGGAAACTGCAGAATCGCAGACTGGTTGGGGTTGGAAGGGCCCTCTGGAGATCATCTAGTCCAACCCCCTGCCAAAGCAGGTTCACCTAGAGCAGGTTGCACAGGATCGTGTCCAGGCAGGTTTTGAATATCTCCAGAGAAGGAGACTCCACAACCCCTCTGGGCAGCCTGTTCCAGTGCTGTCACCCTCAAAGTGTCGCTGGGCACCACTGAAAAGAGCCTGGCCCCATCCTCCTGACACCCGCCCGTAAGGTGTTTGCAGGCGTTGATAAGATCCCCTCTCAGTCTCCTCTTCCTCAGGCTGAACAGACCCAGCTCTCTCAGCCTTTCCTCATAAGAGAGACGCCCCAGTCCCCTCATCCTCTTCGCAGCCCTCCGCTGGACTCTCTCCAGTAGTTCCTTGTCTGTCTTGAACTGGGGAGCCCAGCATGGGACACGGTGCTCCAGGTGGGGCCTCGTCAGGGCAGAGCAGAGGGGCAGGATGGCCTCCCTCGGCCTGCTGGCCACGCTCTTCCTGCTGCACCCCAGGGTCCCGTTG